AAAAATCTTCGTAAAACGAAAAGGAAAAACAGAAATCTAGCAGTTTTTTTCAGTGAAAGGTTTTATGAAAGGAACAACCAGATTAATAAGTTAGAAATGAGTTAAATTTCTCAGTTAAGTTACTCAACATACACAAAGGGAAAAGCAAGATTCTCCGATACAACACAGCATGCAACAATCCAGTCACAATTGACGGAGAAGATTTGGAAGATGTAAAAACCTTCACATATCTGTGCAGCATCATTGATGAACATGGTGGATCTGATGCAGATATGAAGGCGCGGATCGGCAAAGCAAGAGCAACATATCTGTGATTACAGAACATCTGAAACTCAAAACAATTGGCAACCAACATCAAAGTCAGAATTTTCAATACAAATGTCAAGGCAGTTCTACTGTATGGGGCGGAAACCTGGAGAACCACGAAAACCGTCATACGGAAGACAAAAGTGTTTATTAACAGTTGTCTACACATAATACTTCGGCCAGACACTATCAGCAACAACCTGCTGTGGGAGAGAACAAACTAGATCCCAGCGGAGGAAGAAATAAGGAAGAGGCGCTGGAAGTGTATAGAACACACATTGAAGAAAGCACCCAACTGCGTCACAAGACAAGCTCTCACATGGAATCCTCGAAGCTAAAAGAAGAGGAGGAAGACCATAGAATATATTACGCAGATATGAGAAGAATGAACAAAAATTGGCTAGAAGTAGAAGGGAAGTTTCAGGATAGAGTGGGTTGGAGAATGCTGGTTGGCGGCCTATGCTCCATTGGAAGTAACAGGCGAAATTACGTAAGTAAGTAAGTAAGGTATTAAATGCAGTCCTAAACATCAATGAGAAGATTCAAATAATCAATGTAAAAATGAATTACTCATCTGTTTATTGAAGACTTATTGATGTCCCTATCTAATGAAAAGTTTCAATATTCATTTATAATTAACATAATTCATTTGTTTCATTCAATCAATCAATATAACCCTATACACTTTGTTATCTGATTTTTTTTATTTTTTTTTTAAAAATACTACTACTAATTATATACATTGTTTTGATTGAAAGATAGAAATATGAAGAGGGAAAAACAGTAAATAATCTAATCAATATCTAAATAGAAACTGTTTTTATCGATTTTTTTCTTTTTTTGGGGGGGGGCAAGAAGAAAAACTCTGATTTCTCTCCGGTTTTTTTTTAAATATTTTTTTGCGGAAAACACAATTAATCATGACATTAATGTTTATTTAAAACTAATAAATCATCTGATTACATAATTTTATAAAATTAAATCTCTCTAATTTGATAAAATATTGAATAGATTAGAAGTTTATAAGTGAAGAATTTTTTTCATTAGTTGAGATCATAAGTTAATTGAAGTTAGATCATCATGGAAAACCTGGAAGCACTGGACGGCCATGACTCATGATTTCAACTATTGAAATTACTATCATATCCACAAAACCCTTTTGATATGAATCAACATATGTTCATTAGTGACTAACTTCAAGAGATATTCCCGGGAGTTCTAATGAGAAGCAGTGACCTATGGGGTTCAACTGGGTCTGTTGTGAGATAGTAACTCACTGATGACAATGATGGATGTGTCGCTCAATTTCGTGGATTAGTTGAAGTTGGACATTAACAATGTTGGATGCTGGCCAGCTCAGTGGTCTAGTGGTTATACGTTTGAGTGCGAGACCGACAGATCGTGGTTTTGAATTTCTCAAGTCATTATCATGGATGCACACTGCTGAGGACTTCCACAATAGGATGAATCTGCCGTCCAGTGCTTTTAAGTTTTCCATGGCGGCCTAGATTCATTTCACTCATGATCTTAACTATTAAAAAATTACTATAATATTCATTAAACTCCTTGTGATACTAATAAATTATTCATTAAGAGATAGCTTGTAAAGAATTACTTAACTAACGTTTTGAGGAAAATTCTTGAGATGGAATATTAAATCTCAAAGTATTAGAAATTTGTAATGTTATATGTCAATGTAAGACTATCATTAAATCTCTTTATAATACTGATATAAACTTGACCATATTTGGATTTGATGGAATCAGTAAAGTTGATATATATTTGTATTCATTAAATAATATTTCTCTTTAAGTACACAAGGGTCAACTGATATTTTCAACATATAATTTTAAAATGTTATCGTCTTAATCTTTTAATGCAGATTCGCTTTTATATATTTTGAAAGGTAATTTCAGCAGTTCTAGTGAGAAGTCTTGGTCAGTGTAATTCATCCATATCAAGTGTGTACCAGTTACCCAATGAACATTATCGGAGACTGTTGTGTTAAATCGTCCATTGATTGAAAATAAACACGCAAGCCATTATGGATCGATTAAATGGTTTGATAGTTAGGTACTCGTTGGTAGTCACGATGATCTTGGATTCCATGCTGATGGGGTTATAGAAGTGTACTGCTACCGAGAAATATTATACTAAAAAGAAACAGATGTTGAATGTTAACCAATTTCCAGTCATTCTCTAAGATCAGCACATGATGTAGATTATGGATAGATTCTATATTACTGCCTAGTTAGTAGGTTAAAAATTAATGAATAGTCAGTTCAGTAACTATATATTCATATGAAACTTTTAGAATCATCTGATAATATTTCCTAACATATATAATGTAAGTCATAAGTTGAACGGTTCTGCGGTTTTTGTCGACATTGTTAAGTGTCAAACATTAGATATGGAATATGAATACTAAAATTTTTATATTCATTGTGAAATTAATGCTTTTAAAGTTCAGTCCTTCAATGAATTAAATCATATATCCAATAATAAGACATTAGTTCGTTATCTTTAGTGTTTCATTCACTTAACAGTATTTATTCTAAATGACAAAGTTGATTTGTTTCAATCGGAATTATCTTGAGATGGTGGAGAAGATTTGTAGCTCAGGTGGATGATTTTGGTGGAGTTTTGTTCTTAATTTTGTGCTGATGATGTCGTTCAGAAGAACGATGAATGCTCCACGACCAAACCATCCAGCTCAGAGAACAAAACTCCACCAAAATCTGAATTATCGATTGATTTCTTAGTAAACATTCCAGTTTCTAACAAAATATTGATCTTCTAACTATATAGTTAACATCAAGGCTAATAATATAGAATTATTATATGTTCATATAATTGTGTTTTAATATAATGAGAATTTTTCAGGGATTAAAATCTTGTGATTAACCTATTGCATTGAAGGCACTCAATGAGTTCCTGAAATATAACACGAAGTTCACAGGAACGAAAACAACATTGGAATTTATAAAAATAACTATATTGGTTAATATAATTGTGTTTCAATAGAATGGGGATTGTTTCAGGGGCTAATATAGTATTGAAAGTTTATCACATTGATCTTATATATGGAATTAAGAATTCTTACTTCGAAAGTATATTAAACTGAAACTAAACACTTAATCGATTCTCCCTAGATTTTTTTTAAAACAGTTTTGTTTTCAACCGATTTTATTTTATATTTAAGAGAATTTAATTTTAAACCATCAATTGAATAGAGAAATTGTAATAATAGTATTGTGGTGTGTGTTATTTATATCCATATAAGTAGTATATAACAGTGGTCAGGCATAGATTGTATTTCAGCAGAAGATCGATAAGGAAAGAACAGTAACGGAACGCAATTGATATGAAAATACATGAACAATGAACTATGAGACAATGGACTGATTTGAAACGATGGATTGATAATTTGCAAATTACTTATTTACTATATGATTCTCAGATTTTATTGAGATACTTTGTAATTTCGTGTTCAAATACATTCGTTTGTTCCCACTCGTATTATTATTCACTAAAGTATAAAACAATACATGAAAGAGTGGAAGGGAAGTGAATGAGGTCAGAGAACGTAAAAGAGACTTAACATTTAGTATGGTGATCATTGCCATCATTCTCATTCAGTGTCAATCCATACATTTATTATTGACCAGTGATATACGTATATCATCTTGTGGCCTATTCTCCATTTTCACTGGTTGTTGTGATCTGTTCCAATAAACAGATCAGTGATTCTTTACCATCTGAAAATGTTGGTAACGAATTAAATGATGAAGTTAAATCTGTTTGTGAAAGTATTACACCAGTATTGTCACCTGAACAACAATTCAATCCATTCGACAGTTGATCCGACTATCTAATCAACGTATAGGTTGAAGCATTTGAATTATTCAAATGCTTGAAGTAGTACTGTCTGCAAAGAAACAGTCAAATTTAAAACGATGGATTGATATTTTGCAAATAACCTATTTCGCTGATTGAAATCATGAGTCGATTGAAGCTAGACCACCAGGGAAAACCTGGTATGGGACTCCTCAGCAGTGCGCACCCACGATCCCGCACCCTGCGAGATACGAACCCAGAACCTACCGGTCTCGCACCAGACGCTTGACCAACTAGACCATTGAGCTGGTCGGCATCCAATGGTGTTAATGTCTAAGTTCAACCAATCCACGAAGTTGCGCCACTGTACACCATTATCTTCAATGAGTTACTATCTCACAACAAACCTGCTTGAACTTCACTGGTAACGGCTTCTACTTATTTACTATATGATTCTCAGATTTTATTAAGATGCTTTGTAATTTCGTGTTCAAATACATTCAATTATCCCCCCTCATGTTCTTCTTCACTACACTATGCATATATATCATTTCATCAGATTAGAATATAAATATAATTCCTATTTTGAATTCATTTGTAATTATGCTTATACATATATACATTTACTGATTGATCAAAAGTCGAAATTTCATTGGTTAATTATGAATCATTTTTAATTTAGACGCCAAATACATATACACTATATTATCCAATCAAATTAAATCTGATTGGTGTATTCTCTCATAATTGATATCAATATATTCACGTACATAACAACTACTGGCATACAAAAAAAAATAGTTACCTTTTTCAACATACATCATATATATATATATATATTATATATTGGTAAACAAGTTAAAAGTATGTTCATAAATAGTAAAATATTTTTTTTTGTTGCTTTAGTTCATTTATCAAAATGATAAATAACCAAAAAAATTATTGATTTTAAAAAGCACAAATATTGATTAATCAAAATTGTGACTATCATTATCAATAATATATATATATATTATACACTTATATAAAATAAGTAATATAATCAATATAAGAATGAAATTATGAATTATATATGGTTAATATGGTGTATTCTAACATGGATAACAGCTATATTATGTACCATTGGTTGTTTATTACCATATTGGTTAGATGGTAAAATTTTTTCCAATTATGAAATCACTACTCATGAACAAAATCTAATAAAACATACTACTACTATTACTACTACTTATAATACAGATATATCAAGTACATTAAATTTATTTCGTCGTTGTATTTATCCAGTATATACAAATGTAATTACAGATATTTTATCAGAAAATCCATTGAAAGCAAAATTATTTTTTAATCAACCAATTCATTATAGATTAAATATAAAACAACATTATTTAGAATCATCTCTTATTCATATACAAACTAATTGTGGTTATTATCAATTTTTTGATATACCTCATATAGCATGGAGATTTAGTTTAATCTTATTAATTATAAGTTGTTGTAGTTTATTTTTTTTAGCATTTCTATTATCATTTACTGGGTGTTATATAAATTTTCTATGGAGATTAAATATACATCGTATATGTCAATTAGGATTATTATTAACTGGTAAGTTAATTTATTAATTTATTGATTCAATTAATTATTTAATTTCAATGTTTTTTTTTCTGTATTGATTGTTAATGAAATTTCATTATATTATATAAATATCAGAAAAGGTTTTGTGAAAACCTGGAAAAACTGGAAGTATTGAATAGTCGTTTCGTTCTATTGTGGAACTCTTTAGAAGTGCGCATCCATGTTTAGTAGAGTTCAATCAAGTCTATTGTGAGATAGTAACTCACTGAAGATAATGGTGGACGTGTCATTTAATTTCGTGGATTGGTTGAGGTTAGACATTAACACCGTTGGATGCTGGTCAGTTCAGTGGTCTACAAGTTAAGCGTACACAGGCGAGATTAAATGTCATGGGTTCGAAGCTCGCGGAGTGCGGTATCGTGGATGCGCAATGCTGAGGAGTTCTACAATAGAACGAAACGGCCGTCCAATGCTTCCAGGTTTTCCATGATAGTCTAGCTTCAATTGACTCATGATCGCAACTATTAGAAGGATTACTATGATATCCACAAAACTCCGTCTGATATCAATTAACATACTCTCACTCGTGACTCGCTTCAAGAGGTATTATATAAATCTTTAACTGGTTAGTAATAATTATATTACAATTATATGACAACTATTATTCATTGATTTATTGACTATATTACAGTTTTTTGTATATTGAATGATTCATAAGTTAGGGATGTTATAGAAGTAGACAGTTCGCAAAAAGACTTGTGTACATTTTGTAGGAAGTTTCCGTCTTAAGATGATGTTAGTTAGAAAATCATCGAAATCTAGAGTGTATAGTTTGATTAGTGAGTAGTAGTGACCAGTATCATGTTAGTCTTGCCTTTTTAGTACTGATCGCATCCTATTGATCAAGTGGAGATGAAGCCACTAGTTTAGGTAACTTATGATTGTATGGACTATATATTCGTGTATTATGGTTTGAATAGGTCACGAGAAAACTATGATCTTAGGTCCCATGCCAGTTAGCAGTTATCGGTAAGAGAAGTACCTTGAATATTAAGGGAAATGATGCTACCTGTGGGGTCTAAAATAAACATTACATTTTTTAGCTGTTCATATAAGTATATTGTTGTGATGAGTGCCGATCCAGCGCCAATCTAGGTCTAGGGTTTTCGATTGACTTCCTTGAATAACCTACTTTCAAAGCTAGGTTGTGTCAAGCGGACGTTACATTCTAATTCGGTAGTTTTCAAACCTTGTGAAATTATAACTTGAACTTGGAAAGAAACAGTTTTTCCCGTTTGACAGTCATGAGTGAAAACATTCGATTCTCGACAGCTAAGTGTATCTCATTTTTAGCTGAAACATCAGAATCGTCCAAGGGATCTCATATTAATTAATCTGAATGTCAGTAGATCTTCTATGATTGAGTATATGATTTTAATGAATTTGTTAATAAATTATATAATACTGCAGACTTTTAATTCATACGACAACTTTTATTAATTCTTGATTGTTGAGTTTCACCTTGTATCTGCTCTTCTTACTGTAGTTGGGAAATCATTCGATTGGTAAAATAACATTCTGAAAAACATCTAAATTAATGACAAAATCAATCATTTCACTGATTGAAATCATGAGTCAATTGAAGCTAGACCACCATGGGAAACCTGAAAGCTTCAATTGACTCATGATTTCAATCAGTGAAATTTCTAAAATCTCCACAAAACCCTTCTGATAAAATCAATAATTGTCCATTCAAAAAGACAAAGAAATAACCCTTCGTTTTCTAGAATCCTCTTAGGAGTTTCCTACTTGCTTACTACATACTTAAGCCTGTTACTCCTCGTGGAGCATAGGCCACCGACCAGAATCCCCTAACCAACTTTGCACTGGGCAATTCTTTCTGGTTGCTACACATTCTTTTGATGTCTGTTTCCAATTCCCGACGCAATGTGTTCTTTGGTCCTCCTTTGTTCCTGCTCCTTTCAGGATTTCAAGTTAGGGCTTGCCCCGTGATGCACTTTGATGTTTTCCGTCATATATGTCCTATCCACTTCCATTGTCCTTTCCTAATTCCCTCCTCAGCTGGAAGTTGGTTTGTTCTCTCCTACAGTAGGCCATTCCTGATAGTATCCGGTCAATGGACATTCGGTATCTTTCGTAGACAATCGTTTATAAATATCTGTACCTTTCGATGATGGTCGTAGTAGTTCGCCAAGTTTCGACTCCGTTCACTAGGATTGTCTTGAGGACTTTGACCTTGATATTGGTTGACAATTGTTTTGACTTCCAAATGTTCTTCAACTGTAGGAATGCTGTCTTTGCTTTTCCAATCGTTGTCTTTACATCTGCATGAGATCCTCCACGTTCATCGGTGTTGCTATCCAGATACATGAAACTTTCCACCTCGTCCAGATTCTCCCCATCAAGCCTGGTTGTGTTGGTGTTCTTCACGTTGTATTTGAGGATCTTGCTTTTTCTGTTGTGTATGCTGAGGTCTACTGCTGTAGAGGCTGTTGCTACACTGGCTGTCTCGACCCACATTTATTCGTGTACATAGGATAACAGGGCCAGATCATCTACGAAGTACAAATCGTCTAGTTGCATCCAAGATTCCCGTTGTATTCCACGTTTTTTCTCAGATGTGGAGACCTTTATAATCCAATCAACCACCAGAAGAAAGAGGAAGGGGAAGAGTAATCAGAATTGTCTGACTCTAGTCTTCCCTTGAAATGCATCCGTCATCTGTTCTTCATTCACACTTTGCACTGTAGTCCGTCGTATTAATTGACGATTTCTCTGGGTAAACCATAGTGTCGAAGAAGGTTCTATGATGTTCTTCTATCTACACTGTCAAATAATTTCTCATAGTCAAGGAATTTAATGTTAAGTAACGAGTTCCATTTAATTGATTGTTCAACATTGATCCGTAGTGTCACAATTCGATCTGCGCAAGACCGATCTTTACAGAATCCAGCCTGTTGATCTCGAAGTTGGAAGTCTACTGAATCTTTCATCCGATTAACTTACACTCTTTTGAAAACGTTTCCTATCTATCTATCTATCTATCTATCTATCTATCTATCTATCTATCTATCTATCTATCTATCTATCTATCTATCTATCTATCTATCTATCTATCTATCTATCTATCTATCTATCTATCTATCTATCTATCTATCTATCTATCTATCTATCTATCTATCTATCTATCTATCTATCTATCTATCTATCTATCTATCTATCTATCTATCTATCTATCTATCTATCTATCTATCTATCTATCTATCTATCTATCTATCTATCTATCTATCTATCTATCTATCTATCTATCTATCTATCTATCTATCTATCTATCTATCTATCTATCTATCTATCTATCTATCTATCTATCTATCTATCTATCTATCTATCTATCTATCTATCTATCTATCTATCTATCTATCTATCTATCTATCTATCTATCTATCTATCTATCTATCTATCTATCTATCTATCTATCTATCTATCTATCTATCTATCTATCTATCTATCTATCTATCTATCTATCTATCTATCTATCTATCTATCTATCTATCTATCTATCTATCTATCTATCTATCTATCTATCTATCTATCTATCTATCTATCTATCTATCTATCTATCTATCTATCTATCTATCTATCTATCTATCTATCTATCTATCTATCTATCTATCTATCTATCTATCTATCTATCTATCTATCTATCTATCTATCTATCTATCTATCTATCTATCTATCTATCTATCTATCTATCTATCTATCTATCTATCTATCTATCTATCTATCTATCTATCTATCTATCTATCTATCTATCTATCTATCTATCTATCTATCTATCTATCTATCTATCTATCTATCTATCTATCTATCTATCTATCTATCTATCTATCTATCTATCTATCTATCTATCTATCTATCTATCTATCTATCTATCTATCTATCTATCTATCTATCTATCTATCTATCTATCTATCTATCTATCTATCTATCTATCTATCTATCTATCTATCTATCTATCTATCTATCTATCTATCTATCTATCTATCTATCTATCTATCTATCTATCTATCTATCTATCTATCTATCTATCTATCTATCTATCTATCTATCTATCTATCTATCTATCTATCTATCTATCTATCTATCTATCTATCTATCTATCTATCTATCTATCTATCTATCTATCTATCTATCTATCTATCTATCTATCTATCTATCTATCTATCTATCTATCTATCTATCTATCTATCTATCTATCTATCTATCTATCTATCTATCTATCTATCTATCTATCTATCTATCTATCTATCTATCTATCTATCTATCTATCTATCTATCTATCTATCTATCTATCTATCTATCTATCTATCTATCTATCTATCTATCTATCTATCTATCTATCTATCTATCTATCTATCTATCTATCTATCTATCTATCTATCTATCTATCTATCTATCTATCTATCTATCTATCTATCTATCTATCTATCTATCTATCTATCTATCTATCTATCTATCTATCTATCTATCTATCTATCTATCTATCTATCTATCTATCTATCTATCTATCTATCTATCTATCTATCTATCTATCTATCTATCTATCTATCTATCTATCTATCTATCTATCTATCTATCTATCTATCTATCTATCTATCTATCTATCTATCTATCTATCTATCTATCTATCTATCTATCTATCTATCTATCTATCTATCTATCTATCTATCTATCTATCTATCTATCTATCTATCTATCTATCTATCTATCTATCTATCTATCTATCTATCTATCTATCTATCTATCTATCTATCTATCTATCTATCTATCTATCTATCTATCTATCTATCTATCTATCTATCTATCTATCTATCTATCTATCTATCTATCTATCTATCTATCTATCTATCTATCTATCTATCTATCTATCTATCTATCTATCTATCTATCTATCTATCTATCTATCTATCTATCTATCTATCTATCTATCTATCTATCTATCTATCTAT